ACCCGTATCGTCAGTCGACCCTACAATTGTAGGGCGCGTTTATGGCCTCCTTGACTGTCATACTCCTTTCCCTCCTTCAAAAATTTCTAGATTACACTTGTCCCGTGTTAGCGTCAGCGCTCTCCTATTGTGAAGATTTGTTTTCCTTTTAAATTGTAGGAAATTTCAGACTGATAAAACATGATATAACTCAAAACCAAGCACAATTTGATGCAAATTGATGTTTGTGACATAACCTCAAAATAGAGCGTTGACACGGAGAAGTAGAAAACTATGACAATCAAGGAGGCCATAAAGAGGCCCTAAAATTGTAGGAACGACTGACGATACGGGCATTAACTAAGGTTGGACAATGTCAATGTATGACGTGCTATACACTCTTTGAATTAGAATTAAAAACTAGATACCCTTGCAAAAATCCGATATGGCGTCTATAAGAAGAAATAAAGTTGATGCTGAGACGAAACGACATAGTGAGATCCTAAATGCGCCATCTTGTAAAGGAGAAAAAGTGGCAATGTTAATGTGCAAATTATTTTGAAATCCCACTACAAATAGATACAGAAAAAAATTAAAACGATTTTGGGACAGTTCTGGTTCCGTCTCTCTTTGAATTTTGAAACTTTATACACACAACTTTGTGCCCTTCAAGCGACTTCGTGTCTCTTACGGTTTCCGAAATTGTAATGGTGAGTATCAAACTTTAAACGCCTGGTACATAGCACAAGTGTTTCTAAAATCCATGATCAAAATCAGTGCTGCAGATTTGTTTGCTCCGGAGTGTAATTGGTGTATGAAGCTCAGTAAGAGACGATCCTTGTGGTAGCAAAGGACAGAAAAGCCTAACAAGAAGGTGTCGGTAGGATCAAAGCACGGATTTCGTCCAAAAAAATCCAGTAAGCAGGTTTTTTCCCCCTAACCCACTTTAGCACTTTAGGTCATGAAAAATTCATCAATGAAGAATGCCAGTTTGCTAGTTAAATAAGTATAAAATTAATGGTTTCTCAAGGTTATGCTATTTTGTCAATGAATTCTGAACTTACTGAGGATAGATATTGTCTTTCATATAATTTTACATTTTTTACATTTCTTTCCTATGCAAGTTCTAAAAATAAAGTACCTGCTTTTTAACCAGTCAACTGAAAACTTGTTAGACGTATTTACATAACTTTGGACTAATGTTTCATAAAGAAGCAAAATAGATTACACCACATAGGTACATCTTACTGAAGTTCTTGATGTGGCCATTGTTGTTTAGAAATAGTGTACGAGTCTCACTTGCGTTAAAATAAATAACTTTGACGCAAATCCCATTTATGTATTATTTGCAAGATTACTGTAACGCTTGATTAATAGCGAGATACAGAAGGTGATATTACTCTCCTAATAAACTATCCTACCCTATTATTTTTAACTTGACAACAAAATCATATACAGCATGACACGGTACATTTTCCAAGAATCGCCGTATACTGGAAATTGCTTCTCTATCTCTTTTTTGACATTATGTAGGTTTTCCTATGAAGTGCCACCTTTCAACTAGCTGAAACTTACTTCACGCTCACTTTTTTTACGTAAAAATGAACGATATTCATGTTAGACCAGCCTAGGGAATCACCCCTCGGATTTTAACCCGTGTTTTGGAAACAACTTGTATTATCAGAGAAATTATTCTACACTTCCCCGCCACTGTACAATAACGTTTAAGCATGTATCTCGGAGACTCCATACTATTAGAGCGTCTAAGTACACGTTTAATAAACGACCGCTTACTGTGTCTTAGACTGTAGCAAACTTTGTTGATGCTGTTAGACTTGCCAGAACTTCCCGAGGGATACAATCACATTCAACAACATTGTTTTCTCAATTATATCAACGTGAGTGTGCTGTAATTGTGTTAAGAATGTAGCTTGTGGAGTGCAGGCAAACCATAGTCAACATTGGAAAATGTATTGATTTGCCTAGCAAAGTTTGTGTACACATATTAGAGTAGTTTCCATTCCTCATGCGCTTGAGTAAGGAACTTTTGATCAGATAATGATATACGAGTATACTGATTATGGGTACCCTAATTCATGGGCACTTGGTAGGTAAAATTTCAAAAACGATGCTATAGAAAGAGGATTGCATAGTTTCTCCATTTTAGATATATGGTTGAGTAGGGTAGGTGTTCCTGCAGAATTGCAGGTTCTATACACAAAGTGTTCGAAAGGTGGATACAAACGGCTGAGAATAACAAATATGTATTTGTAGAAATATGTTACTATGTTTGAAAATGTTCGACGCGAAAATACGGACTGGCTGTTATTGTGTCAAGAAGCTCAAGGTAACCATTTCCAGCATCTTCTAAGTGGAACTCAACGTATTTATTCGAATTATCAAGTTAAATGTCAATGTATTCAAGTATTTATTAAATGTACCACCATTTTGTAGTAGGTAAAGGTATTGACTTTATATTCTAGGGTTATAAAGTACTCGTCAGGAGCTTCACAATGATGTGCCACAAGACCCCCGTTTTCATACAATTTTTTTCCAAGATAGCGCGCAGCGGCCATCTTGACAGTTTCATCTGTCAATTTTACTCTAAAATGTGGTATGCACGCATCAATTTCATTACCTCAAGTTTTAATTTTTTGAATTGATCCGTTCAAAAAATCAAAAGGGAGGGGAGGAAGCATTAAGGAAAAGCAATGTATCACACAATTTGCACTCTCAAAAGGTCTAAATAAGACAAATGGATAACAGTCAGAGTATTTCCTCAATTATTCTCATTTCAAAGTCAACTGAGGGACAATATGAGGTATAATTGAACTTACGACCCCTATCGGTCGTAAGCGTAAGCGTAAAAATAAATTTCCAATTAAAATATCCTGGAATCGTATCATATTGATACATACTTTTTACATGATAATTCATTGCTTGAATTTTTCTTTTTATTCAGTAGTACTTGAAAACGGTAGTTTAAACAAGTTTTCCATTATATCTCCACAACCAATGAAGATGTGGATCTGCGGTTCTCGTCATTTAATAGGAATTTTTATGTTCTTTTCGAGCAATATTAAAAAAGTATACCATTGTATTAAACATTTTCATGATATTTCAAAAATAGTGACATTTCTATTAAAGGCTATCCAGTTGCAACAAAGTGAACAACTTTTACAAGATCTATCTTTGAGTAGGAGCGCAAATGCAAGATGTTTTGAATAAAACCAAGATCGTGAAAATTAGTGCAGCTACAGAGAAGCTACTTTCTCTGAAATGACATCCAACCCTTCCCCCACCTTCGATGAAACAAAATGTGGAAAAATGACATTGAATAATTAAAAAATTGAGCAGTTGACATGATGAATTAAATCAGTACGTTAATTAGTCATTTTTGCAAAATAATGGCGTTTGAATTTTCTTTTTAAGAAGCTGAAAATAATTTTCAGCATTTCCATGGTTGCTTGTGTTATGAAATGTTTTATCGAAAGGCTATTATAGGCGTAAGAAGTAAAATAGATAATCACAAAATATGTTTACGTTTGAAAAAAAAATAAAATGAGCTCAACAGATTGAAATTGGTCCACTAGTTTAGGAATTTTTAAATATGACTGCCAAAGGACCACGGATCACGCGACCGCACTTTTTTATATATTCCTATAGGCGCTTAATTCTCCGCATTCAAACTAAGAGCATATGTAGGTTCACACGTGACCTTAATGGTTCATCATTGACTTTGAGAGATTCGCAATGTTATATCAGTTTCATGGCAAGCTTAGTGAACACCGTCTTTAGTACTTGTGAATACAGTTCTTTCAAATGTCCGAAATTGGCTCTCATTCTGCCAAAAAGGGAGCATTATAAGTAGTATCAATTTGTATGACTGCACAAATTGGTGAAGACTGAAAAGGTTGGTATATCTCAACAACTACTGGACTAATTAAAAAATGTATAATCGTAATGCTCCGCATACTGAGGGTACACGTGACCTTAATAACCGTTCCTAGACCAACACTAGGAAAGAGAAGCCAGGAGGGACTTCTAAATCAGTGAGGCGCTAACTTTGGCGTAAAATAAACTCGGCTGTTTTGTGTTTAGTAGAAATACACGCCCAAGTACATCTGTTAAAAACCTATCTAAATGCATCGTGAGATATCAATAAGTTATCGTATTCTGTGAATTACCTTGGAGAATGAGTATAGAGAAAGTATAGAGAGGCGGATAGTCACAATATCGACGTCTTACCGAATGTCAAAGTAGCGGAAGATTCAAAACCTCTTGCCACAGTGTGGTATTTTCCCCTAATATCAATAAGTTTCAATTAACTTTAGCAATTTCTAATGGGTTATACATTGCTTTATGAGCTTATTTTGGACTTGCTATAACAGATGTGCTACGCTATGGCTTATAATGGAATAACAGTATCAATGACTAGTAAATGGTACTGCTTTCATCATTTTAACCAACCGAGGGCCAACCATACCCAGTGTTTTCATTAATTTGTATTGGAAATCATCAGCACCGTCCAGGTAGGCCAACGAACCAAAAGCAGAACAAAAGCATCTCCTATCAGGGGTACAAAAACTATCGAAAGCACAAGTGCCATATGTCATCAGAATCGGCCACTGCGAAAGTGAATAGAAGCTATACATTGGAACTGTAAAGATATTTCACGTCGTATTTCGGTAGGCTGATGACTGCCAATAAGTACGAAACAGCGCTGTAAATGGTTGGCTCTCGGTTGGTTGGATGAACGATAGTAGTACTATTAGTTTTAAATGGCGAGTAGACCATTGACTACTCTATCGCCAGAATCGGCGACATCAAGGGTTCAGAGTATTGACTGTCGACTGTCGACGTTGAGATGCCCTTGCAATTTTAATAGATTGGGGATTTTCACTTTCGCTGTGGTCGATTCTGGTATTAGATAGACTATCAATGACTGTCGAGATATTCACAGAAAATTATTGTTTGCTGGATTCTCGACGGTACACGAAAAATTACTAAAATAATGTTACCGTTTCGTAGACAAGTGACAATAACCTCTGGAGTGGTCCAGTGATACATACCTGAAACAAAAATATCTATGATTAACCACTTACGGAGTGAATCCCAGAGTTCATACTTGAAATACTAAATACTGGGTTGAACTTTGAAATATTTTTTTTGTTCGCTGGGTTTTAACGATCGTGCTCTCCCAAAATTAAGAAACAAACTCCTATGAATCAAGAATGAAAATTTCCCCTCCCCTCATTTTCTTATTACTGTAATTTCAGTCTAAACCATGCGAAATCTGCAATTGCTAAAAACTTGATACAGCTAAAGTTGATTTAAAAAGAAAAGATCCCCTATCTGAATTATAGGAAATTTTAATATGGTGGCTGTTGAAGCCTTGCACCTTTTTAGCTTCGCTACATTATAGCAAACGTGAAAAGTAATGCAAAGGTAAGAAAAGATAAAAATGTACTAAACTGATATACCCCCCGAAGGTTATTACTTATTCGAAAATAAGCTATGGCAGCTCAAGAATCAAAATCATGATCAATGTAATTCAGTAAGTAAAAAAAACGGTGACATGTAGGCACTGCCACATATTTGAATATGAAAAATGCCAGACAGAATCAAGAACACTCTAAGAATTTCAGTCAGCAAGAATCAATATATCGATATCTATAAAATACCCAATTAGAATGATATTTTGTCTGATCACATCAGAGTTTTTCGTCAAGGGGCAAAATCGACTGTAAACAGCTACAAGGCAGCTGCAAAGCACAGCTGGAGGAGTCTGAATGGGGGCTCTCCGCAATGCCTTTCCACGCTGAAGGTTATAATCCTACTAGAAAATGGATGGAGTAGCACCCAGACCAAAACAACTAAATGTAACGTACAAAACAAAAGGGCACTGCTCCACAATTTGGTGTTTGGGGCGTTAATATTCCAGATTCTGGAAATAATTACCAACGAAACGACCCACGCACAACTAAAACCACAACGGAAGGCAAAGAAAAATGGCACTGGACGCGTCTGTACACGCAATTAAAAGAAGGTATCTTGACAGGAAAGCAAATATTATACAGGGTAGTACGTGTAGAAATCACAAAGTCGCGCTGGTCGCCAATGGGCAGAACCAACTCTCTTCGACGGACCAATAATATTTTATGAGGAAATTTCTGAGATAAGCGTTAATAATACTATAAACATTAAAGTGCAAAAGATTTCAACACAATACTGAGTCGTCTAGAAAGAAAGATAAAATACGTGTGTAATTATACAATCTTTAAACTATGAAATTTGCCAAAAGAAAATCATTAAAAATACCTAAGAATCGGCACTCTATCATTAATAAGGAGAAATTCAAATTACTGGCAAGTAATCAAAATAGTAAAAAAAAGGTTACGTGATTTCGGTACGTGACAACTACCTGCAATCCAATCGTCCCGTCATGCTTTCCTTGGCGGAGACAAAAATCTCGGTTAATCACGCAAGCTTCCCAAATTACGAGGTGCATTCCAACTTGAGAGAGAATGGGGGAGTTATGGATTTTGTCCGCAGCAGTCTTTCCTGCTTTATAGGTGTTTCTTTGGAATCAGATCGGAATTGCATTCTGTGGCTTAGCTTCAACTCCAAACCATCCCCCAAATGTATTTGCTGCTTTTATCGCTCTCCCTCGGACCATAACTGGGACGACCTACTTGAATACCTCGCTATCAAGATCGACTTCCTGAACATCAGTCATCCCGTTTCCGAGGTAGTTCTTCTAGGTGATTCCAATGTCCATAATGAGCTATGCCTGGGCTCAATCAGGAACGATGCAACAAGATGTGCAGTTGAACCTTTCGCTAGGACTAACCCAGCTGGTGACGAGCCGTACTTTTTTCTCCCGCCTTTCGTCACACGCCAGTAACCTGCTGGATCTGTTTCTGACCACGCATCCTGTCCCTTACAGCACAGCTGCCCTGTCTCCTTTGGGTAAATCAGACCACGGTGTCGTGGAGGTTAAGTTTTGGTCAGAACCCACTGTGGCAGCAGAAACTCACCCAGGCCGCAATATTTGGCATTACGGACATGCCGACTTGGAGGGGCTCAGAGACTTCTTCTTCAGCTTTACTTGGAGAGATACTTGTTTCGCTCAAGCGGATGCCTCGGCTGTCTGATCATCGATAACCGAAATTATCCACGCTGGGATGAAGGACTACATCCCTGATGCAAAGAATCTGACTGAAACTTTGTACAACGGCTGGCTCAACAAATCATATGGCACTGCTCTACAGCAGAAGATCAAGGCACACATGACCTTATTACAAAACTCCACTGTAGACAACCTACAAGGTGACTTCGAGTCTAGAAACAAATATAACGGAGCGGTTCGCAATGCCAAAGAGCAGCACGATGTTAACGTTAGGCAAGGGTAATGTCGCAGCGCAGTGGTAGTCGGTCTTTCTGGACGCTGGCCAAGTATATTGAAGGAAACTTCCCACAGAGTTGACGAAATATTTTATTATAAGATGAGACTAATATTGGTAGAAGAGCTCTGGCCAACTTCTCCAGTAAAGACATTTTATTATTATCACATTAATAATATTATTAATGTTACACTGAGGAAGAAATTTTACTAAACCAATTATAATTTGGGGGTTTGCCTAGATTTAATGAATAAAAGGATATTTGGATAATATTTGGAGTTAAAAATAAACAACTTGCAATTTACTGAATGGTGTATTATTATAACCGCTCTCTGATCTTAGATATCAAAACATTTGGGAACTTGACATTGATAGTTGATGTTCTCAAATCAAAATGACAACTTCCCAATTTTATAACCCTAACAAAATACCGTATTGAGATCTTGGAAGCTGTAAGAGATACGAAGTCGCTCAATAGAGGCAAAGGTAATCAGCAAAATGCCGCTTAGAAAGTTTCGAAGCTCAAGGTACTTCCGGAGAGAGACTTGAAAAACCGAATTCTCCCAAAATCGTTTTTAATTTTACTGATTTAATTGTCGTAGGATTTCAAAATGAATTGCACCCTTAACCGGCACCTTCTCTGCTCTATAAGATGGTATAATTAGAATTACAATAAGACGTTTTGTCCCTTGTCGTCCAGCATCAACTATATTTTTGCTTATGCACGGCGCATTGGATTTTTGTTCAGGTGGATAGTGTTTTTAATTCTGATTTTAAACAAGTATAGTATGTCATACATTGGCATTGCTAACCCTTCATCATTCCTGAAAAACAGAATTTCTTAGGTAGGCCTTGAAATTATCTGATTTCATTTGTTTTGTCTACCAGACCAGTCCTCAAATTGAAAGCATTGGAGGCATTCCGGCCACCATAAGGATCCAGTGCATAGGCAGGCTGTAGTGAAGCCACTAAGTGCTTGTAAGATTAGGAATAAGGAGTCTTGTATTGCCTTGCAGCGAAGCATCCGGTATCGTTAATCTGGGTACCGGGGCACGCTGGGATAAGGAGCAATAAGACAGCGGACGCTCCGGCAAAGACAGGATGAACTAGCAAGCTCTTTGGTCGTGAGCCACCTTTAGGAGTGCCCGCGCATAGAGTTAGGAGGAAAATGGTGACACGGATTGCAAGACAACACTCTCAGAATTGGACGTTTCTGCTTATCTCTGGATAGACCCAACCTAAGATTGCTGATGGGACTGTTGTCTGGCCATAACACGTTCAGACGCCACCTGCACGTCAAGGGGGTGGCTGAGGATCCCTTGTTTGAGCGCTGCGGGGTATAGGAAGAGACCTCGGCGCACGTTCTGTGTCGCTGTGACGCTCTGAGTTACTATAGGCAATGTGGTCCATTACTTTGGACCGTCAGGACGTCAAGGAGCTTGGATTCAAGGCCATACTCAACTTCACTAAAAACGCGAGGCTTGTGATCTGAGGGTGTAGAGGTACATAAGGGCCCGTTTAAGCGGCCTATGCACTGGCTCCTTATGGTGGCCGGAATGCCTCTAATTTCACGATTGATTTATTAATTCAGAGGAGAAAAAGTCGAAGTGTTAATGACCAAGTTTTAAGTTCGATCTCAAATAAAGTCAACAAAAAATAAAATTGAGTTTGGGATAAATCTGGCATGCAAAACTAGGGTAGATTACTATATATACTAAGTGAATATAAATCCGAACACCCAGTTTAAATGGTTTTATTTTAATAAAATTTTGTATAAGTACTTAATGAAGCATAATAAGTAAATGATAAATGATTGCACTGCTTTAAAGCCCTTTGACCTTTAATAATGGGTGGATGCACCCTGATGTGCTACGCATTCTCCAACGCGCCTAGGCATGCTTCCGATCAGGTGGTCAATGTCCTCCTGTGGTATCTCATTCCAGGCAACCACCAACTCCTCTCGACGTGCTTCTAACCCTGGCACGACCATCGTGCATGCCTAAACAAAATCGAGACTCGTCACTAAAGACAATACTGTTCCATTCCTGATCCCAGAGTGACCGTTGTCTGCACCACTCAAGGGGATTACGTCGGTGTTCTCGAGTTAAAGGGAGGACCCAGTGTGGCCGGTATGAAAACAAGCCAAAACTTCTCATTCGTCGGTAAACACTTCGCATGCTAATAGGTCTTCCGCGTTCTGCAAACCATTTATTTGCAATGGACCTGGTAGTGGAGAAACGGTCCCTTAAGGCCAATAATCTTAGGCGGCGATCTTCACGGTCTGTTGTTCTACGGCGGCGTCCAGTGCCCCTTGCTCTTTGCGTACGGCCTTCTCGAAGCTATGCCTGACAACACCTAACCACAGTGTCTACACTTCTTTGCACTCTAACTGCAATTGCCCGAAAAGAAAGTCCAGCTTCCCGAAGTCCCACTATACGGCCCCTATCATACTCACTAAGTTGACGAAATCGTCCACGTCTCCGTACTCTAGGCATCGTAACCGATCGTAAAGGATGTCAACAACCAAAATCCGCCAACGTTGATTCTTTACTGCGGCTGAAATATTCATTTTTAGAGCGTTAGTGAATTAAAAAAAAGCAGTATAAAAACCGGAATGTCCAACTGATAAGGCTGAAAATTTTTTCACTTGTTATTTACAGTAAGAT